TCACCAATTATATAACGTGAATCACTTTTTAAATCCGAAGTTTGTAAAAAGTAGGCAGTAAACTTGACGGAATTTGAAGGCTAGCTTCCGGATTTGTTATTTCCGAATTTTATAATGTGATTGGCATTAAAAACACGCTCACCTTCAACGAAATTTCCTTTCCGAGGCTTTGTGTCAGCCCAATCACATATTGTGCCAATACTTATCATTTTATCGTAATTCTCCCATTTGACGGACCCCAATCGATTTGACTTAAATAAAGTGGCCAATACACACAATAGTTATTTTGTAAATAGTGTGGGTGAAATATTAAAAACATCCCTGTCCCTAATGACAATTAAAGAGAGGAAATGGCTCAAAATATTAATCGTTGTGAATCTATTAATGAGGCAAATAAAAGAAGATTAAAAGAATTGTCAATAATTTAAGGAATACTAAGGACTCAGATACAGTTAGTCGTCAAACGGTTGAGAAATAGTAGCCAGTAATTGGAAATATGCTGTCAGAAAATTAATTATCCAAAGAAAGATGTTAAAGATATTAAAAATGACATTGTTGATGATTGTTGTTCCTTTAGCTAAAGTAAAGGGAAGTGTTAAACCTAAGGATCTATTACTGAAACCATAGCATATGAAACATTGATGAAATACAATATAGAAAATAAAATATCTGAACATTAGTGAGATTTTAGAGAGAAACATAGCACAGAGACTGCAATTAAATTAGTACTAAAGGAATAGTTAAGAGCAATAAGACAAAGGCGAATGAGTATTACTTGTATTTTTGGATTACATAAGGACTTTTAAATAGGAATGATTTGTTAAAAAAAATTGTGTACCTACTTGCTGGCTTGAGGAGCCTCCAAGTCTGATTTGTCTAAAGTCATGAAAGAAGGATTTCATTAGTGCATACTGTATATATAAATTAATTTAATTTTTGCCCACTTCACATCACCTTATGCATTTTAATTTCTTTTAAATACTTACCAAAATATCACAGATATAGGTAAATTTTGTAGTTTCTAAATTTAGTTTAATTAAACACTAAACCAAGCAACTGCACGCTTTTCAGTTGATGGTCTAATGTCAAAATTTTCTTGGTTTCATCTTATATTTTGAAACATTATAAACATATACCCAAAAAGCAGGAATTATAGTTTCTTGTTAATTTCTTAGCAAGATATCCCTGCTCTTACTAACAATAAGTAAAATTTTTGTCTTGTCTTGTCTTTCCTTGTTTTGTTCATAAATGCCTTGGTGGTTCACAAGTCCCTTAACTTCTTCTCGCAACAAAAGCAGAACAGAAAGATGAGAAAACAAGACAAGACAAGAAGTTTGTGAAACAACAATTTCTACAGATTTATTAGCTGTCGACTGCGGTAACTATTAATGCAGGGTATCAAAGAAACTGACGAATTTAATTCCATTTAACTTATAAAATTGTTGTGTCAAAGAAACTGACTGATTTGATTCTTTTTTAGTTATAAAGTTGTTGGATCAAAACAGTTGACTGAATTGATTCCTTTACTTACTTAAAGAATTGTTCTTTTGAATTTAATTTGTTGTTAAAGTTTCACTTCGAAATTAAAAAGAACTCTGTTTATTTCTGACCAAAGACAATTTAGAATTATTGTTCTTTTTTCTCTTCAATTGTAGGCGAATGTTTCCTACGGTAAGGATCTCGTTCACTGGAATTAGGCCGGATCAAAAGTACGTCGTCATTCTCGATATAGTTCCTGTAGATAATAAACGTTATCGATACGCTTATCATCGATCGTCGTGGTTAGTTGCGGGCAAAGCTGATCCACCCGCCCCATGTCGGCTCTACGCTCATCCCGATTCACCCTTTACTGGAGAGCAGCTCAGAAAACAAGTGGTTTCCTTCGAAAAGGTTAAACTAACAAACAACGAAATGGACAAGCACGGACATGTAAGTTGATGCATCTTAAAATACTATTACATCAGCGGTCGGGGAACCAGAGTAATTTACCCCAAATAGAGTAAAAATGAAATTTTTGGGGGTAAAAATGAAACTTTTGTGAGTAAAAAGTATATATTTTTAATTTGCTATTTTATAAACCTGTTAGTATTTTTTTCAACTTAAACAATTTAGCGACATATGCAGGCCACGCCATCTCACTCCCCACCACTAAGTGTT